TAGTTTTTAGAGCACAATGGGACAGATACAGTAAAAAGATGTGACTTTGCTGAATGACAAGTGAAGCAAGTATAAGGTTTGCTTGATAAAACAAGAGATAACAGCTCATTTAAGCAGGGACCATGATTTATAGAAATGAGAAAGAGATGTAACCTCACAATGATGAGAGAGAGGCTCAAACTTGACAGATAGAGCAGGTACAACTACATTTGAATTGCATTTTTCTTGTCTAGAAGAATGCATACAATTTTGTTTACAATAAATAACTAAGTTTTGTTGGTGTTAAAATTTACGAGCCACTGCACTTTAATGCCAATCTTGGGAATGCATATAGCTATTTCATACAGATGCTACCACCGCTTTCACATGCTACCTAAACATTCTAAATAATTTTTTATCTTTGAGTTTTCAGGATCTACCATCATGATACCATAAATATTTCTTTGGAGTACCTATAAATATAATAGTTAAAATATATATATATATATATATATATATATATATATATATATATATATATATATATATATATATATTTATCATTATAATGTGTATGTATCAAAATACTGTTTTCAGTTTCTTACAATTTCAATAGGGTTGCAGAGATTAATTGATTTACGCTAGAATAATCTCAAAACTGCATTATTGTCATTAACATGTTATATTACCAGATAATGTCTCATCCACGTGAGACATTATCTGAGTATATAGTATAGCTAAAATTATACTCTTTTTCTGAAGAACTTATTGAGGTATCGCAAAGGCAGTTCTTTGTGTTTCCGCATCAAAATCAGAGTCAGCATCAGTTAAGTCAAAAGTAGCAATTAATTGAACAATTAGTCCATTGTTAACTTGCTTCTCTGCATCTTCACTGTTACATCTACTTATCAAACTAGTTACAGCCTTGCTTATTCCGTTCCACTTATGCATAAGGAACTAAGCTAATTTTCTACTTCCACCCTGATTATGCTTGCTACTGTTGACTGTATTCACAAATACTGCAAGTTGGACAGCAAACTTTGTCATCACCGATGCACCACTAAAACAGTGTGCAATGCAATTTGCTTTCCAGTCAAGGTTTGTTTTGTCCAATATAATAGATATGTCTCTAAATAAATGTTTTAAAAAAAAATTCCTAGAGTAAATTTACACAAATCTATTAACCGCTCTTCAATGATATTGTGTAACAGATTGTAAGAAATGTAACCATCAAATGTTTCTTGGTGTTGCTTCTAAATGATACGAATTACAAGACACATCTGGTTGCACAGAGCTACATCTGTTATTAAGTCAGCTTGTATACTAAAACACCACTTTTTGTTAACTGCACCAAATTTATCACCAAACTTAAGTTTTTGTGATGACTTTCCGCTGGCTGAAAGTTGCCTCAATTGTTGATTAAGTGAAATTTTTTTAATAATATAAAATTTAAAAAAATTATTAAATTTTTCATTATACCCTAACCCTGACAGATCCACTGTTATGAGAAGTTTTAACAAGGCTTGAATGTTTCCTTGTCGTAAATAATGTTGCAAACTGGCAGTAGCATTTTTGATTTGATGCCCACGCTATGGCAGGCATTGCATGATAAGTGTATGAAATGCTTTTATTATGTTTATTAAAACAAAAAAAATTTGGTCCAAACAATTTTAATGCTTTGGTCTAAAAAATGACAATTGGACTTTCCTGCTTTAGAGATAAAAATGTGTTGAATGCTGCATAGTGGGCAACTGATACTTCATTTCTAATAATGTTGTAAAGATAGTGTGCCAGTTGGGTCTAACAGGCATCCAGTCACAAAAATGTTGTTAACATTACCATTAAAACATATTCATACACTACATACAAATTCATATCTCTTCTTGTCAAAGCTGGTTGTACTTGTGAAAAAGATTAAAAAAATGCTTAAGTTGAGATATTGCAAATAGTGAAAAAAACAGAGTAGAATGAAGGTTGACTTGAAACAAGTAAGAAGGGATAAAAAGACTTTCAAACTTGCAGGGATCTAGGAGGCTACACTAAAGCTGCATTTATCAACAGCAAGATTTGAAAAATATAAGCCTAAGGACTGTCACAAATAGAATTCCATTTAGTTTTAGGGCAGTAGTAGGTAGTGTGATGATAGGGTGAATCTGAAGAAGAAGAATGAGATAAAATATTTATAGAGAACATTGCATGGTCTGAGTCCAAGTAAAGGATAACAAGGATAAAAAAAGGGATACTTTTGTCAAGTTTAAAGTTGAGGAGAACTTGATAGAATTCAGATAGAACATGGTACCCTAAGAATAAGCTATGTAATCGCCTCAGTTTTCCTAATTAACCCAATGTTGTAACTAAGGGCTTTTTATATAGCCTTGATAATGCATATCAAATGCAACAATAGGGACACATGGAATGGACACACTGTTAATTCTTTGATATTTTACAGCTCTTAATGGGATAACCCAATGTTGTAACTAAAGATAACCCAATGTTGTAACTAATTCTTTGATATTTTACAGCTCTTAATGGGATAACCCAATGTTGTAACTAAGGGCTTTTTATATAGCCTTGATAATGCATATCAAATGCAACAATAGGGACACATGGAATGGACACACTGTTAATTCTTTGATATTTTACAGCTCTTAATGGGATAACCCTCTGAGAGCTACAACAGAGTTTAGGAAACCATATTACCAGTCAGCCTCAGAATCATTAAATATAAATATAAATAAATAAATAAAAACCCAACTTTTGTGCTAAATACAAGTATTATTTATTCACAGTGTTCTTTTGAAAAATAGACACTCATTTTGGACATATGTGGTTTTTCCATTGTAAACTCATCAACCCATAAATTACATTAGCTTGTAACATTTTAGAGCACTTATTTTTTTAAAGGTAGATGGTAACACTATTGTAATAAAGCCTTATTTTGTACATTCAGAAAATGTTTAGAAGAGTAAATCTTTATATTTTTAATAAAAAAAGGCAACAGAGCTATGCATGCTTGTTTCAGTTTATCAGGCTCTTTGATCATTGATCAAAACATATGGGATGTAACACACATAAAACTAAATATTTCTATTTTTCCATATAATTAAACTTTAACTTTTAATATTTCATAACCTTTAATATTTTAATTTCTCTAGTGTCTTAAATGAACAAACAACCCAGAAGTTTGGCATTGAAACTCTGCAAATTTCAGAAATTTTTCTAGTATCATGTTTATATACAATATTAAATTTTTATGGTTTTTTGTGAGATCGTCTTGTGTTTCTGCAACAAAACTTTGATTTGCAATGGCCAATGTTTAACACATTTTTTAGAGGTGTAACGCCTATACATAATGTGACAGAGTTCTAATTGGTAATGAAACAGTAATGCTGTCAAGTTTTTCAGTTTTATAAACTAGATAATAAAATCAAATTAAAACATTTCAATTTGTATTTTGCCTAGCTCATAAATTACAAATCACTTTGATACCCTTTACACTTGGGATAATTAAAAATTTAAAATCATGTAGCATAGAATATAAAACATCATGCCATCTATTTCCAACAGATATGAAAGTATATTAGTGTTAAAAAAATAAAACAGTTGTTGCCTTGAATAGTATACATATTGGTTTCAAAATTTAGACATTTTTTTTTTGAAATCTAAGCAAATTACTTCACAATTAAAAAGATTAGAATCAGAATGTTATTGATATATATTTTATACTGCTGAGTTAGGTGAGCATGATGACATCATACTGAAATAGCCTGCTGTGGTGGCTTCAGTACATACATCGACTGACATATAGCCTGACTCGCAGGGGAGTGCTGCTACATTGACTGAGGGTTTGGTATGGGTCAACAACCTTTTCATTCATTATTTGTTTTCCCTCATCGTTTTCTCAAAATGCTCACTTAATTTAGACTAGCAAAAAAAGTGAGCAATTGCGCATATAAATATGCTATAGTAGATTATATATATATATACACACACACACACACACACACACACACACACACACACACACACACACACACACACATACACACACACACACACACACACACACATATATATATATATATATACACACACACACATATATATATATATATTTATATATATATATATACACACACACACACATATATATATATATACATATATATATACATATATATATATATATATATATATATATATATATATATATATATATATATATATATATATATATATATATATATATATATATATATATATATATATATATCCGAAAAGTTAGTCATGTGACTTACGCTTTCATTATCATTGGTTTAATTATAAATAACTTGGACAACTGTGTTTTTTATGCGGTAAACATTGGACAACAGTGGTTGTTTCAAAGTTGCCTTTTTTTTTAAATGACCATAGAATCTTAAAACGTAGTTTTTTTGTTATGAATTTTTAAATTAAAATAGCTTAGCACTAAAATATCATAAAAATATATATAACTCTAAACTTTCAAAAAGTGGACATCTGTGGTTTTACCAGTGTGGTCTTCATATAATGTGTATATATATATATATATATATATATATATATATATATATATATATATATATATATATATATATATATATATATATATATATATATATATATATATATATATATATATATATATATATATATATATATATATCCTCGGAAACTCAACCCTCAGAATTAGGGTTGGCAAAAAATTGCTGACCTTGTTTCTATGTTTTATGGTAACTCCATTGTATCAAATTTTTTTTGCCGACCTTTAACAGTTTTTCAAACTGTTAAAGGTCAGCAATTTTTCCTAATTCCAAGGGTTCCTAAAAAATTAAAGGTCAGCAATTTTTCTTAATTCCGAGGGTTTATATATATATATATATATATATATATATATATATATATATATATATATATATATATATATATATATATATATATATATATATATATATATATATATATATATATATATATATCCTATCATGGGTAATATATAATACCTATCATGGATCCATTCTTTTAATTCTTCATGACTAATTTTATGATCTTTATTTTTATCAACTTGATGAAAAATTTTAATAAGTTTTTTATAACCTCCATAATTTTCCCACTCTAGTTTGCCATCATCTAATAGTTTACCTAAAACAAAATTACTAAACATTATAATAATTAACAAGCAAAGAAAAATTTAAAAAGTTTGAACAATTTAAAAATTTTAACAATTTATGAACAAATATATTTGTTTATATAAAAAATTTTGAATAATTTAAAAAATTTAAAAATATTGAGAACAATATATTGGTCTATATATGCACATACCCAAATGGAAACAAGTTTAGGTTTGGAACTGTAAGTAATGCTAAAATATTGTATGCAATAAAAATCATTTTTCAACTCTGCTACATACTTAACCTTGCTGGATCCACACAAAAAAATTTTATTTCTGGGATGAAAAAAGCAGGATCCCATGCTACGTCTATAGAACGGGATTGTTTATACACATTGTAAATGACAAAAAGGCAATTGTCATTTTACCATTTACAATGTGTATAACCTTTTAAAGTATTTAAAAAAAAAAATGAAAAAAATTTTGCTAAAATATTCAACTACTTCTATGGTAATGAAAATGTAAGCAGAGAACTCTGAATTTGGATCTGACATTGCAATAAGATAAAGTATCTCATCAGTCATAGCTTAATACATTAAGATGAAGTTGGGAGGAGATGAAGTAGATGATTGGGAAAAGTGATTTGGAGTCAAATCTTGAAGGAATAATTTGAACATGAAAATTATTACAAGATGACTAGGCTTAGTAAACATATGGGAATCCCCCTATCATTGTACCTCTTACAACTACCCAAGAGCTGACTGGGACTATTTCCGTGATTTTTTTCTTGATGGCCCTTAGGTAAATAGTAATCTTTCATCTTGCTGCTGAAAAATGTGTTTCTTATGAAACTTATTGGATTCAGGCTGGCCTGAGAATAAAAGGGAAAAATAATTATTTTAATTATTAATTATTGCTCAGTTCTTTAAGAACATTGAGTACTCTATTTATATAATACACATAATTTATATATATATACGGAAAAAACGCATTATTAACTCTTGTTTTATTGCGTAAATAAGGTTAACAATATTATAACTAATATATTATGGTTAATGCAAAAGAATTCAAAGACGCTCTGGATGCACTGGAGAGTAAACTAAGAATTGAATATGAATCAAAGATTAGTAATGCTGTAGCAGATTTGAAAAAAACAATACAATCATTAGTATTAACAGTTGCTGATTTAACTAAAAAGAATGAAGATTTAAACAACAAAGTTGTAAATGTTATTGTTCCTGCTCCGAATGAAGCTTGGAATATTGTAACAGGTAGAAAATTAAATAAAACTCAATCTCAGATTGATATTATTAATACAGTTTCGAATGAAAATAAAGAAATCGAACAAAGAGAGAAGAACGTAATTATTTTTGGTTTAAAAGAATCCAATAAAACTGATGGCGCAGATATAAAGAAAGATGACGAAAACAAAGTATTAGATTTATTGGATCAAGTATCAATAGATAAACTTCATATGGTTCGTATTTTTAGATTAAAATCTAAAAATGGTATTGCACCAGTAATTGTCGAGTTAAGAAATAAGGACATGAGAAATGACTTTATAAAAAAATCATATCGTAAGTTTAATGGTATTTATGTAAATCCTGATTTAACTGATGCTCAGAGAAACTTGGATAAACAACTCAGGGATAAATGTAGAGAATTAAATAAACCACTTAACCTAAAAGTCGATTGGGACCAAGTTAAAAGCTATCACGTAATTAGAAATAAACAAGTAGTGTTGATAAACAAATAGCAATTGTTGTTCAAGTCATCACAGTATAACACACATAATTTTAAACATTCTTTACATACACCTTGTCAATATATATATAACCAATTAAATAACCCTGATGCAGACACTGGAGGAAGTAATCATATGAACTTAAGTGCTAATACACTGCTGGTAAAGAAAATGAATCAAGACCTTCAAAAAGGTTTAAAAACAGAAAATATCGATTATTTAACATGTTGGTATACAAATGCGACCTCTTTAAATAATAAATTTGACGAATTCATTGATGATATATCCAGATCTAAGGCTCAAGTTATATTTGCTTGTGAGACTTGGTGGTCAGCAATGTCTACTACTAATATTCCTGGTTATAATCTGTTTAGAAAAGATCGTCAATTTAGTCGTGGTGGGTGGTGTATGTATTTATATACAAGAGAATATTAAATCTTATGAAATAAATGAAAAATATCTAATAAATGAAAATATTGAGCAAGTATGGTGTTTGATTGAAATTGGCAAAGAGCAAATCTTATGTGGTTGTATGTACCGGACAGGCCTTAGTAATAGTGAAAAGTGTATTGACATTATAAAATCATTAAAACAAGCATATGTACTCAAAAAAAATAACAAATGCTCTGGTATTTTAATATGTGGTGACTTTAACTATGCAAACATCAAGTGGAACAATGAAAGTTTTAGTGAAGTTATAAATGACAGTGACACAACAGCAAGTATGTTTATTGAGTTGTTACATGACTGTTACCTGCACCAAAATGTTATCAGTCCTAGTTTTCAAGTAAAGTTTGGTATTGATACTAACATTTTAGACCTCATTTTGACTGACAATAGCAACAGAGTTTATTTTCTTGAACATTTTCCACCATTAGGTGGTATCGATCATGGTCATCATATTTTGAAATTTCGATTTGGTTATGAAAATAAACCTAATTTATTAATATCACTACAAACGAGGAAGAAAAAATTTTTGTGGAAAAATGGAAACTATAAAGCGTTAGATTTGTATTTTAATAACATAAACTGGATAAATGAATTTGAAGGACTAAGTGTTAATGAATGTTACGAAAAATGGCTAAGAAAATATGAAATAGGATGTGAAAAATATATCCCAACGCTAAATTTAGATAAAAACTCTTTTCAACTAAAAAATAACTCACTATGGATGACAACTGAACTTAAAAGCATGTGTAAAGAAAAGAAAAAATGTTGGTTTAGAAACAGAAATTCAGGTTTTAAAAGTCTTTTAGAAGTCAATAAGTATAAAAAATTAAATAAAGATATAAAAAAACTTGTCAAGAAAAGTATTTGCAATTTTGAAAAAAACTTGGCACTTAATTTAAAAAGCAATCCTAAAAGTGTCTATGCTTATATAAACAACAAAACAAGATTTAAAGACTCGATCAAAGCCATAAAGCTACATAATGGTATTATAACTACTGATAATCAAGAGATAGTAAACACTCTTAATGAATTCTTTGCTTCTGTGTTTATACAAGATGACTCACCAGAAGAAGTTTTAGATGACAATCTTTTAACAAAATGTTCTGATCCAGATTTTAGTATTTCTCTTATTCGGAAACATTTGAGTAATTTAAACATGTACAAATCAGTAGGTCCAGATAATGTTCACCCAAAAGTTTTAAAGGAATGTTCAGAATCTTTGTCAAGTTCTTTAGCAATAATATTTGTTAAATCGTTTATTACAGGATCTATTCCAAAGTTATGGTCATGTGCAAACGTTGTTCCGTTATTTAAAAAAGGAAATAAACTAGATCCAACAAATTATAGACCGGTTTCATTAACATCAATTGTTGGTAAAGTTATGGAGAGAATTATTAAAGATCATATGATGGTGTTCCTCATTGAAAACAATTTAATTTCTAAAGAGCAACATGGTTTTGTTAATAACAAAAGTTGTATAACAAACCTGTTAGAAACATTAGATTTAATCACGCAAGCGTATGAAGAGGATATTTCTGTTGATGTTTTATTTTTGGATTTTAAAAAAGCATTTGATTCAGTCTCTCACACGAAATTACTGAAAAAATTATTCAGACTAGGATTTGTATCATCTTTGTTAAATTGGTGTAAATCATTTTTGTCAGGCCGAACACAGAGAGTTGTAATAGGGGAATATATTTCAAGTTGGAAGATGGTTACTAGTGGAGTACCACAAGGTTCAGTACTCGGACCTCTTTTGTTTGTAATCTTCATTAATGACTTATGTAGAGGGATTATTAAAGACACTAAATTATATGCAGACGATACCAAAGTTATTTCAATCAATCATTGTTATGATGATAATAAAATATTACAAGAGGATATTAACAGGTTAGTTAAATGGTCTGAAGATTGGTTAATTACATTTAATGAATCAAAATGTAAAGTCATGTATATTGGCAAAAAGAATCCAAGATATGAATATAAATTGAACAACTCTGTTTTAACAGAAACAATGATAGAAAATGATCTTGGGATTTTCATTTCAAATAATCTAGAGTGGAAATATCATGTTAATTCAGCTATAGGTAAAGCAAACAGAAAATTAGGCATGATCAAAAACTCTTTTGAGTATTTGGATGAACTTTCATTAAAGTTACTATACAAATCGTTAGTACGTCCCCATTTGGAATATGGAGCAACAGTTTGGAGTCCATTTTGGAAAAAGGACATTGACAATCTTGAAATCGTGCAACACAGGGCTACGAGAATTGAATCTTTAAGGGGGAAGTCGTATGAAGAAAGATTAAAGATACTTGAATTGCCAACTTTGTTTGATAGAAGAAGAAGAGGTGATCTGATTCAAATGTATAAGATCTCAAAAGGAAAAGATATTGTTAATTTTCACCATCCTCCTTTAAATTTTGAGCTGGAGCGATCTAGTAGAAGTAACAATTGTAGAATACGCAGACAATTTACAAAATCAAGAATTCGTCACCATTTCTTTACAAACAGAGTTATAAATGATTGGAATTCTCTTCCACAATGGATATTAGATAAAGATAATTTGAACATTTTTAAAAACAGTATCGATAATTATTTCGGTTTCTGAACACTAATTTTTGTAATCGGCTGTCATAGTCTTAATTCTACGTAATTAAGACTCTACACACCTCAAGTGTGTACAGCACCTTTTCTATTCTATTCTATATATATATATATATATATATATATATATATATATATATATATATATATATATATATATATATATATATATATATATATATATATATATATATTCATATATATATATATATATATATATATATATATATATATATATATATATATATATATATATATATTATTATATATATATATATATATATATATATATATACATATATATATATATATATATATATATATATATATATATATATATATATATATATATATATATATATATATATATATATATATATATATATATATATATATATATATATATATATATATATATATATATATATATATATATATATATATATATATATATATATATATATATATATATATATATATATATATATATATATATGTATGTATGTACATATGTATAGATTGTGCAAATTTGTGCTTTACATTGATTTATCACAAATTAAATAAAAGTTTTTTAATTTTTTAAAATACTTTTATATATTTTTTTTTTTATATAAATTTTTGGCTGTACCTCGACTTTTAGAAAATACTATACTCACCAAGAAATGCTTCATGGTGAAATTCTTTATTAACATCTCCATCCTGTTCTAAATGCGCACCACGAATATGATCAGGAGGTAACAACTCAGAATGAAGGATATTAGTTTTACTTATGTTTAATTTTCCAACAGGTATTGAAATTGTTGATCCAACCAAGCAAATAATTTTAAAAATAATTAATAACATGCTCCATAAATAAGAATTTCACTTGTTTACATTTTGTAACGCCGAAACGCTAATTCTTATTAGTTGGTTTCAAAATTTTATTTCAAACGGTCGCGCAGCATTTCCTAGAGAAAAGCAGTGTACGATTTGGAAACTATAGTACAATTGTCCTGGAATTAGGTGGCAAGGCTTTTTTGTCTCCATTAAAACACGATAATAGTAGTTATTTTCCAATTTCTACTAATGCTCATATGTAAATGTATTCTATTTTCTCCAGCAACATTTTAAAGCATTATAAGGTAAAGTTGTAGCCCCGTCTCTAATACTTTCCATGTAACATTTTTTATTGACCTCTTTAAGTGCAAAAAAATAATTAACCACCTTTTTTTTTTTTACACACACACACACACACACACACACATATATATATATATATATATATATATATATATATATATATATATATATATATATATATATATATATATATATATATATATATATATATATATATATATATTTACCGTTAGTTTAAATAACAAAAAGAAATTATATTTATAATACAGTAGAATCCCGTTAACTTAGACCCTGGATAAGTCGGACTTTTACTAAGTCGGGCAAATTTTCAATTCCCCATACATACCAAAAGCTTTGCTTCACTCGGACATTCGCTAAGTCGGACAAAATATATATATCCGAGTTCAGAGTCCGAGTTAGCGGGGTTCTACGGTAGTTTAATAAATCATATAAAGTTAAGAGCACCGTATTTATGGAACAAAATTGTTGTTCCAAATTTTGATTTGTCAATTTCGTTTTCCGTTTTAAAATTTTTTTTTCACTCTTGATAATTTGAAAAATTATTTTCAGTTTTTGTTTCTTTTACATTGTTAATAGTTATTAGATCAATTGTATTTTTATTTTTATTTTTATTTTTAACTCCTTGGACTAAAAAGAAAATCTTTCAAACTATAGTTATGAATACTGTGAATACTGTGCTTCTATTATGCCACTATGTTTCTACTGTGCCACTATGAATACTGTGCTTCTATTTTTTTAAAGCAGTTGATCTTGATAATGTCAACGGAAATATTGTTATAAGCTGTTTTGACGTTTCAAAAGAAATACTTGCAACGGCCTTCTAGCAATCGCCAAAAACCTTGCTACCAATGAATCATACAAAAGTGTCTTTATACGGCCAGATAGAACTCTTTCAGAACAAGACCTTTTTAACAAGTTAAACAACAAAAAGTTTAAGCTTAACAACAGCCTTAAAGCAAACGGCAAAATTGACCAGCTCTTTCGTTTTGTCATCCACAGCGACAAAGTTAAATGCATTGAAGTCAGCAAAAAAATCGACATCAACGGCTAGGAAAAACACCCATTCATCAACTGGAAAAAAGCACTCGCTGCAACCAAATCCAACCAATGAGAAGTTGAAACAATCAATACCTAACCATTCCCATATAATCAATAGCTCGCCTTCTCCCACTTCCCAAAAAAATGATTCTAAACTGTTACTAAATTACTCCTACACAAACGCCACATCTCTAAATCCAACTAAACTCAACGAAATTGAATTAGCAACATCCCTCTACAATTATGACACCGTTTTCATCATTGAAACCTGGTTTGACGAATCTTCAGGACCAAGGTTGCTCTAGTCGTGGAGGAGGAGTAGCCATATACGTCAAGAACAGCATTAACGCCTGCGATATTGACTACTCTCAACTTCACAACGGTTTCCAATGCAATTTCTCAGAACAGGTCCGGATTGAATTTAAACTCCCACAAGAATCACTTTTAATTGGCTGCATCTATCACCCACCTACCATTAATTCTCTGCCCTTTGATGAAATAGTAAATTCTAATTCCTATGCAAAAAAAGCCTGTAGAAAATTTAACGGTCTAATAATCACCGGTGACTTTACACTTTCTGACGTCATATTGCACGACGATTACCACCGGCGCTGAAACTAGTTTTGGCACTAAATTTACAAAAACAATTTTTGACCTACATCTACACCAGCACGTAATCAATCCCAAGCCAATCCCTTCATCCAAGCTAACGGTCTGTTCGAAAATACACTAGACCTCGTAATTACCAAAGCAACCAAAGCAAACAAGCCACATCACTATTGGTTCTTCTCTTGGTAGTACCTCACAAGGTCACTGCACTCTGGCATGGCAACACCAGATAGCCAAAAAGCCTATAACTTTCTCCATTTAGCAGCTCAAAATTTAGGAGAGGTAATTACAGGAATCTATTCGAGAAACTCTACCAAGTTGATTGTATCAGTCTATTTAAAGAGCGATATGCCGACGAATGCTATCAAATCTTTTACAATAACTATATAAAATGCTGTGAAGAATTTTTTCCCGTGCCATCTCCAAACCAACCAAACGCAGGCAGCCTCGGATAACTAGCAAACTTCTCTTATTAATCAAACGTAAAAAAAAACTTTGGTACCTAAACCGCAATAGTAAATGGCGAATTATCCCTCTTGCTCAAGAGCATAACCAAACTCAAAACCTTGTCGAAAAACTATCCAGCATTGCCATTAGAGCATTTGAATGCAACTAAGCAAACAATAAATGGAACCCCAAACGTGTATACGTCTATGTGAACAATAAACGCGCCTTAAGTAACCAAATAACTTCTATGTGCTCACCTTCTGGGGAAATAAGCAGCGACCGGGCATCTATAACAAATACACTTAACCACTAGTTTAAGTCAGCTTAGAATCGAACCATCAGGTCAATCACTATCTCCCTTTGTCAACCGTACAACCACTTTAATCTCCTCCGCCATTTTTAGCTACGATTCCATTTAAAAACACCTATCTGCTCTCAACGCCAATAAACCATCTGGATGAGACCGTATCAGTCCATTTGTGCTTAAGCATGTGCCTATGCAGCGGCTACCCCACTCGCCATCATTTTTCAGAAATCGATGGAGGGCTATTCTATTAAAATAGTTAAATGTCACGCGTGACATTTAATTATTTTTTGGGGAAAAACAACAGATTTTAGCGCATTTAAAATTAAAAATTTAAAATTAAAGAACTAAAAAATTTTAATATACATTACAGTTTCTAAAAATAAAAGTATTTAATTTTAATATTTTATAGACTTTTAGGTATACGCATTAAAAAGTTGCGTCACGACGTGACAAAAACTATTTAGCATTTTCTGTCATTAGAAGAAATGAAAGTAGTTAATCTCTTATAGATGTTTTGAAATATTTTTTTAATATGTCTTGGATACTCAAAAGGTGTTCTAATAGTATCATAACATTTTTAAAATGTATTATAAATTTAAATGGAGACTGTAATAGAATATCACTGTACCTTAGAATATCACCGCACCAATAGAAATAATAAAAACAAGGATGCGTTTTGAAGTAATAGAATTTAGTAAGGTACCGAGTGCGTCCGAATAACACAAAAACGTTCATAGTATAAAATAAAAAGCACATGTCCTCTTTTTCAAATTAGCGATTCCTATTTAAAATTAAATAATAATATGTTGATCTATACAAGTTCTCAAGACATGATACTATAATTTAACTTTTTATTATAAAATTAGTAATCTTTTACAAATATTACATAATTTCTACAAAATTTTATGCAATGTTCTGCATATCTTTATGTGTGGATGTAACATTCTAAGCGCTATTTAGTTTGTTATTTCTTAACAAAAAACATAGGCAATGTGATATTCTGAAAGTATAATCATATATTACTTAATTTTATTATGGGGATGTGATATTCTAACATTCTAAGCACTATCAAGTATATTGTTTTTTACAAAAGTACATGGGTGATGTGCATATAATAGAAGCATGTCATAACTTAATCTAAGGTTCTAAGTACTATCTAGTAAGTTGCTTTTTAACAAAATACAAGGGTGATGTGATATTCTAACCATATGTTAGTATATTTCTAATTTTTATTAAAGGGGTGCGATATTCTAACATTCTAAGCATTATTTAGTTTGTTGTTTTTTAACAAAATACATGAGTGATGTGATATTATAAACATGTAATAGTATAATTCTTAATTTTTTTAAGGAGATGTGATATTTTAACATTTTTAAGGAGATGTGATATTCCAACGTTTTTAAGGAGATGTGGTATTTTAACATTTAAAGCACTATCAAGTATTATGTTAAAAAGTACATGGGTGATGTGATATTTTAAAGATATAATAGAAGCATAACTTTTTGTCATAACTTTTTTAATATTATTAAGGGAATGTGATATTCTAACATTCCAAGCACTATCTAGTTTGTTGTTTTTGAACAAAATACATGGGTGATGTGATATTCTAAACATATAATAGTATATTTCTAATTTTTATTAAAGCGATGTGATATTCTAACATTCTAAGCACTATATAGTTTGTTGTTTTTAAAAAAAATACATGGGCGATGTGATATTCTAAACAAATATAGTATATTTCTAATTTTTATTAAGGGGATGTGCCACGTTTTTTTGGTTACGTAGTTTGCCACTACGTAACCAAAAAAACACTATAAAAACAAAATTATCATATGAAGAATAAAAAAATATATATATACTAAAAAAAATAAATATACCAAATCGCAACATATTAAAGGTATTGTGGTTTATCTTCCTCCGGCTAATTGCCATATAGAGGCGACATTACCAAGGCCCGTAAAGACAGGTTCGCCTCCCCAAGGAGCACCATAACCCGCTCTACGGACCAAAAGTAAAGTGAGTTTGTGAAGAATGAAGATATGTTAGAGTGAATGACAGAAGTAGTCGAGTTAGAAAGATAGCATAGAGAGAGCGGACAGAATTGCACCCGATGTTAGAGGGTGCTACAAATTGCAATATATTTACGCAAATTTGTATTGATAATTATTTATTTTATTATTTTCTCTTAAACACCCAGTATTAAAATTACAGGTAAATTAATTTATATTAAAAAAGTTACAAATTAAATTAAGACCAGTCTTGGTTCTCCAAATATTTGTCTTAGTGATGTAAATTTTCCAGTAAAATTTGATTCAAAATTTACCGGTAAATTTTAATTAGAGAACGGTAAATTTTCCTTTAAAAAATTAAAAAAAAAACAAATTAGTGAAAAAAATTTTTTAAATTTACCAGGCGGTAAATTTTCCG